TGTTTAGCCAGTCCCATAGGATGGCCAAAAAGAGAACCACAACATGGTGAATAGAAAACCAAAGGAGAAAATGAAAATCGTATTGGTAGACTCACCACAGTGTTAACATAGAGACACGCAGAAAGAGACAACCACATTTGTTTAGGTTAATTCTGACTGTGCAACGTTTAATGCATTATATCTTCTGTCGAGACACACAGGCTAAATCTGGTAGTGTAGGTGGGTTAGGACAACAACAAGGCATTTTTAAAACACGGGTAAAGTTGGGGCCAAAACAACGTAATTTGCCAGGGCGTTCCAAGGCTGACACACACCAAGAGAGTGAAAGTTCCGTCGACATTCTAGCCGACTGTATTGTGTTGCTAACTTGAACTGGTGGCTCCTCAAAAGCGTGTTGTGCTCAGTTGTAGTAGGTGGCGGCAAACGTGCTTGGGGTTCCCTAGAATTTTCTAGGCCATTAAAAGGTCGCCACGTAGACGCCGGTACCGGCCACTGTATAAGTTAAGGGTCATCAGGCAAAGTTGATATGGAAGGTTGAACAACCCTTTGACGTGCTTCTCGGCTCGTCGCCGGGTAGTCTCGAGCGCTGCAAGGTCTTGTTGGTCCCAGGGTTGCCACACCTGGATCGTGTATTCTACATGAGACCCCACGGAGATGTTATGCAACTGAGAACAGAGGGATTAAACCGCCCAAATGCCCTCCGCAGCATGCCAACGTGTTGGTTTCCGGTATTTGTCGCCTTCTCAGATAGTTCTGAAAAGCCCAGATCAGTCTGGGTTAGTATCCTAAGGTCGCGCTCCTGAGTGACCGTTTGCAGGACGTGATCTCAAAGCTGGTATGTAATGTTCGACTGTTGGCGAATGTGAACCACCTCTCACTTCCCTGAACTGAACTGGAGCAGATTGTGGAGTGAGCACCCATACGCTCTGTCCACGTTTCACTGAAGTGCATCGTGATCTGCTGAGTCGGCGATCGTCCGCCACATCTAAACATCGTTAGCGAACAGCAAAATATCTAAAGTAATCAAACGCGTAAGTTCGTTAATGAACACTCGAAACAGACGCGGCCCCAGAACTGATCCTTGTGGAACTCAACATGCGACATAAATTGGATCGGACAGCGCACTTCGAACTCTGACCAGCAGTTGCCGATCCTGCAGCTAATTCCTGAGCCACCCAAAAACTGGATCACCAACTACATACCTTTCGAGCCTGTAAAACAGAATGTGGTGGGCCAGTCGGTCGAAGACTTTGGAGAAGTCGAAGTAAGTCACGTGGGACTGGCATGCCTACGATTTACGTTTACTATACTATAGCTTCCTTATGTATCACCACTACAGCTTTCTACTTACAATCATTCGCTGGTCTGCCTTTTAGCATTAACACGGTGAACAGATTCAAGACAGTATTTTGGAGCATCTCAACGCTTTGCTTGATAGTTACAGAATGTACTTTATTAGCTCCACATAATCTTTTAAGCCTTTCAATACGCCCAGGAATTCTAGTGCAGTTAGCAGAGTTCCAAGAACCAAATAAATACGAAAGGAAATATCTTTTATGACAACGAACATTCGCGGTTTGTAGTAGAGCAGAACTGCTTGCTGAGCTACCTGGTGGTTCCAACTAGGTTATTGGGATTAGCACGCTATAGTGAAGTATTCGACCGAAAATCCCAAAACGTGAGATGTTTGCCAGGTTAGTGCATCCTTAATCAAGTCACAGTTATGCATCTGGTAAAGCTGCGATGTGACACACTATCTCCCAGCAAGTGAGTGCTGACATCATGGGAAGGATTGAGCCACCGTTTAGTGACTCAACAAACGAAAGGCGTCTGAACTGTGGGTTCTACCATCGTTTACAAGTGAGCTCGATTCCTTGAATTCGCCCCGCTGCCTTACGAGTGGACTAATAAGCCAAAAGTTCGACGTTGTGTCACCTAAGACAAATCCCTACTTGAGTTTTTGGCAGCGGGTATTATCACGCTCTCTGTCAAAAGGCCGAGGAATATGCTGCACTGCGAGTAACCGACAGCTCATCGCAATACACTGGACCTCTCTCCTAACAATTTCTTGATGCCCTGGCCGTCGCAGAGGATAATCAACCGTGCCCTAACTGATGCATCAAGCAGGGTGGATAGGGATTTGGATGTTACTGCTCAGGCCTTCATGTCTTCTTATTCCCCTTCTTGCGCTTCATCCTTATCGTCCCGCTCCAACTTTACTTTTATCCCCCCTTTTTCAATCCCCTAATTCTTGGCCCTCCCCCACCTTGCTTTACTAGTCGCTTGCCTTCTAGTTTCAGCTCACACGCAGTCACAGTGCGTCGCTCCAATCCAGTCGACAAGCCCATGTTCAACCAAGCGGATAACGTCAGTTCATCCGTTTCCCTTCGTAGTCCCCGCATCTCGCTAAGAATGGCATGCCTCATTGTGCGCACTTTTCTATAGATTGGCCAACAGGCAGCACTCACTCGCACCCTAGAGACGCCTTCGAACGATATTTGTTGTTTATCAGAAATCCGCCTACAAGCTTTGAATTCCGTGCTTACCCTGCGATCCCCACATGCAACCCTGGCGGCACATTTTCATTGTGCCTGTCTAGCGATGATTCAGCTTCAAATGCCGGTCAAGCTGGCGTCCGAATTGTTTTGAGTCCCCGGGCTGAAGCTGCCCTGATCGGTTGGATCCCAGTCAACAGTCGGATGTGCGTCGTTAGATTAGCTGGTTCGTTCCGTGCTACGAAGTCGAGCGGGAACAACCTGTGCCTGTTTGTCATTGCGGCCTACGCCCCTACAAACTGTAGTACTGCTTCAGTAAAAGATGATTTCTATCAGTAACTTCACGATCTTTTTCGTTACAGAAGAAGCACGGATACTGTGGTGTTGGTTGGTGATCTAAACGCCCAAGTTGGATAATTGTCCTCTGATGAGCTTCATCTGGGCGGTCAACATGTTGTATGCTCTCGTTATGATAACGGTGAGCAATTGCTACAACTATGTGAAGATGATCATCTCTCTCTCGCGAGCACAGACTTTTGACACAACACCCACAGGAGTTTGACTTGGCGGCCACAAGCCTCGGGCCAGTCATGGACGCAAATCGATCATATCGTGATCACTGACCGCTGGAGAGGCTGTGTTCAAAACTGCGCTCGATTTGGAGCACGAGCGTGGACTCTGACCACGCAATTGTCTGCGCCGACCTCCAAGTGCATTTCGGTGGACGTCCGCAACGTCGATGTGAACGGATTAACACCAGGCAGCTGACGAAGCCAGATGCTCTGAATGTGTACCAAAACGCGCTGACTTTCGGGCTGAATAAGCGCCCACTGAACGCCGTCTATCATTGTTAAGTGACACGGACACGATCAAAAAGTCACGATGGCGGCGGGCGGAAAACAGGCGTTTATTCAGTATAGTGTAGCCTATTTAAAGGAAATAAACACTGTTAATCTTCGAGCCTTCTCAGTGGGTCTCCTGTTTTTCGGCTCACCTCATTGGTTGCGTTCCCCTTTTATTTCATTGGGTTATGTTATTCCTCTTCGGTCGCTGTCTTCCTGTCTCGCGCAATGATCACGTCTTTCGTGCTTGGCATCTGATTGGCCGTATTTCTTTGGACCGCTCATATTTGGCTTTGCACTCTGAAACTTGCCGTTAATAGCGATTCTCGAGTTGCCAGTGCGCCCTCTATGTTCTATTGTCCAATCCGGTTTGTCGGTTTCTGGATACGTGTGCCACTCGTGATTCGCTGTCCAGCCATCGCTGTGTCTCCCGGTGGGTTCACGCGTTCTCTCGATCGAACTGATCCGCTGACTCCGGTAACCTGCGCTTAGGTGGTAAGGTCGAGCATACTGGACTGGTTTCCTAAACCCCGTTACATCCTTTTCCTTTTGTTTTGTTAGGATTGCGCCGCAGTATGTCCCATACTGCTTTCCGCTGCGTGTGAGTTTCCTTCCTTCTGCAGGGGTGACGCGTATCTGTCTTGGCTGCTGTTGTCGGTTTTCCATCTGGGTAAAACGCGTACAACCTGCTTTCCGGACCTGTACTCGGTTCCGCTTAATTGTAGTGCCCCCAACCTTCACTTCGTAGCTTCTCTCTCCCTTGCGGCTCTGAATAACTCCCTTCCTCCAGTGTCCCTCTGATCCTGGTACTGGTTGCACCCACACTTCTTCTCCCACTGCTAGAGGTTGGAGTTTTCTCGCCCCGCGATCGTAGTATTTCTTTTGCCTAAGCATTCTGTTTCGTAACCGCTCGTGTATCGAGGTCGCTGGTGATACTTCAGGTGTTAGCAGATTTGACGCAGTTGGTATCAACGTTCTTGTCCTCCGGCTGAAGAGTCGCTGCACCGGACTTGCCCCAATTTCTGTTGATGGCGTGTTTCTGCGTTCCAGCAACATAATATAAGGGTCCTCATGAGTCTCCTTAGCTTTGGTAAGCACCTTCTTTGCTTCTTTTACCGCCGACTCGGCCTTTCCATTTGATTGGCTGTGATATGGGCTAGTAAGCCGGTGATGGAAATCCCACTTTCTGCTGAACTCTCGGAACTCTGCGCTAACGAACTGCGGCCCGTTGTCCGAGACTACTACCTCCGGTATTCCGTGACGAGCAAATTGACATCGTAGCTTATTCACCACTGCGTCTGTACTGGTCGTAGCAAGAGCATCGATTTCAAAGTAGTCACTGAAATAATCAACCAACACTAAGTAACTTTTTCCATCGTGGATGAAGATGTCTACTGCAACCATCTGCCAGGGCCTGTCCGGAACGTCACGGAGCATCATCGGTTCTTTTGACTGACGTACGTCGTGTGTTCGGCATGCCAGACAATTTGAGACGTAATCTCGTATTTGGCTGGTCATTCCCGGCCAAAACATTAGCTCTCGCGCTCTGGCCACACAATTGTTGACTCCCAAATGTGCATAGTGGACAAGCTCTGTCATCGCGCGCTGCAACGCTTTGGGGATTAGTATCCTATTGCCTTTGAATATCAACCCATCTTGGACAATGAGTTCATCACGAAAATGGAAAAACGGGGTCAGCTCTCCTGGTAGATCTTTCTTGTTCTTGGGCCAGCCACTTAGTATTGTCTGCCTCAGTAGCTTGCATAACCCGTCTTCCTCCGTGCACTGCTGGAGCTGTTTCAGTCGCTCCTCGGTAACAGCTACTAGTTGTGCTGCATGAACGAAATCTGAATCTTCGTCTTCCTTTGGTGTGTCTGACAGATATGCCCTGGATAACGTGTCTGCGATATGCATTTCGGGACCAGGTCGATACACAATCTCTAGGTCGTACTTTTGAAGGCGAATAAGCATTCTCTGTAAGCGGCGGGGAACAACATGTAGCGGCTTGTTGGCGATGGAAACCAACGGTTTGTGATCTGTAAACACTGTAGTCTTCCGGCCAAATGTATAGTCATTAAAACGTTCGACGGCGTAAACCACTGCAAGCATCTCTTTTTCTATCTGGGCGTAACGACGCTCGGTCTCTGTCAACGTCCTACTGCGAAAATCGATGGGTTTCCCATTCTGCATGAGTACGGCCCCGATACCAAATTGACTGCTGTCGCATTGAATCTCGAGGGAGAGTTGCGGATTATAGTAGGCGAGAACAGGTGCGTTAGTGATGAGTTCCTTGATTGCCTGGAAGGCCTCTTCTTGTTCTGCACCCCAATGCCAGCTTTCGCCCTTATGAGTCAACTTCCTGATCGGTGTCATAACATCAGCTAACTTGGGCAGGAACCGGCTCAGATAATTGATCATCCCATTTAGCCTGCCAACCGCTTTCACATCTGTGGGGGACGGCATATCTCTTATAGCTCTTACTTTCTCAGGGTCTGGTTTTAGCCCTTCCGCGCTTAACACATGCCCATGAAATATAACCTCTGTACTGCGTAGTTCGATCTTTTCGCGTTTCAGTTTGATGTTTCTTTCAACACAACGTTGTAAAAAGCTACGAAGGTTCTGATCGTGCTCTTCACGAGTAGCGCCAAAAACCAACACATCGTCCGCTACGCAGAATACTCCCTGTAGATCGTCCAACGCTTGCATTAGTCGCTTCTGGAAGATTTCGCTAGACACTTTCAGTCCAAACGGTAAACGAAGCCAACGGAACCGCCCGAATGGTGTTCCGAAAGTTGTCATGTAGCTTGACTCATCGTCTAGTGATACGTGCCAGAACGCAGAGGCGAGGTCGACTTTCGTGAACACTTTAGAATTGCATAACACCGGCAGCATGTCGTCTAGTGTCGGTAACGTAAAATACTCTCTCTTGAGTGCGGCATTAAGCGGTTTCGGATCAATGCATATACGCAGCTCGCCTGACTTTTTGTAATAATCGCCACCTGGCTGACCCAATCAGTCGGTTCGTCAACTTTAGATATCACTCCCAGACTACAGAGACGTTGCAACTCATTCAAGAACTTTTCGCGCAAGGCAATTGGCACCTTCCTAGCTGGTAACGCCACCGGTGTTGCTAGCTCGTTTAACGATAAGTGAGCGGGTCCCTCGAACATCCCTACTCCGCCATCAAACACACTCGAGTACTTATCAAAAATATCTGCCTCGACGTCACACGCATGAACAAAACGTTCGTGGTTAAAAGAAACAAAACCAAAACGCTGGATAGAATCAATGCCCAGAATGGGCATAAGGTCTTCCGAAACAATCAGGAACTCCAGCGGGTGCTCTGTTCCTTCCTTTGGATTGACCGTCTCCAAAATGACGATGCCCTTCGGTTGCAGCCTTGAGCCGTTCCACATTTTGAGACACTTTTGAGTTTCTTCACATCGCACTCCCTTGCAGTATTTTTCAGGCAAGATGTTAACCGCAGCCCCGGAGTCTAGCTGAAAACGTACCGGTTGTCCTCGAACCAAAAGTGTTGCAAACACGCACTTGCTTTTCGCCCGGCCATCCATGTTGTTTATCAACAATTCTTGTTCCCGTTCTCTGGCATCGTCGGCAACCGAACTCACTCTGTATGATCTACAGCAACGAGCAAAGTGACCTTTCTTGGAGCACTTCATGCACGTCCGACCCCACGCTGGACAACTCTCCTTCTTCTTTTGGTGCCTGCGGCCGCAAAACTGGCAATCAGTTACCTGTTCATCGGGTGATCTCGGGATACGTCCCTCGGTTCGGGATACTGCGAACAACTCCGTATTCTTTTCGGCGCGCAGATGTTCGACTTGCTGATCTGTTCTGGCCTCACTGAGGCAGATGTCGACACACTGTTCCAGTGACAAGTTCCTTTGTCGCAGAAACCGGCGTGTGAGTTCATCGTTCCTTATCCCAATAACGATGCGATCCCGTATTAGTGACTCCTTCATGCATTCACAGAAATTGCAAGTTCGTGCCAGGAGCTTCAGTTCTGTGATGTATCTCTCGAACGACTCCCCCGGTAAACGATCGCGTCCAAAAAACAGATATCGTTGGTAGGTCTCGTTCACACGCGCTTCGCAGAACTCGCCAAATGTCCGCATCACTTCGGATAGATCCGCCTTCTGATCGCCAAACTTCAGTGTTTCAAGAACCCTCCTTGCATCGTCACCAATAGCGTGCCTAAACATTGCGAGTTGGTAGTTCATCGGCTGGGCGTCCAGCTGAGTCAGTGTTGCGAAATCCGCCCACTTGCTCTTCCAAATCCGCCAACTGTCTGGTAGAGAACTCTCAGTCATCTGCAAAGGGGATGGAAACGGAATCGCCGGTTGACCTCCAACTGCAAGCTGCATCTTGGGCATCGGTTTCTTCTTCTCCTCTGTCACCATGTTAAGTGACACGGACACGATCAAAAAGTCACGATGGCGGCGGGCGGAAAACAGGCGTTTATTCAGTATAGTGTAGCCTATTTAAAGGAAATAAACACTGTTAATCTTCGAGCCTTCTCAGTGGGTCTCCTGTTTTTCGGCTCACCTCATTGGTTGCGTTCCCCTTTTATTTCATTGGGTTATGTTATTCCTCTTCGGTCGCTGTCTTCCTGTCTCGCGCAATGATCACGTCTTTCGTGCTTGGCATCTGATTGGCCGTATTTCTTTGGACCACTCATATTTGGCTTTGCACTCTGAAACTTGCCGTTAATAGCGATTCTCGAGTTGCCAGTGCGCCCTCTATGTTCTATTGTCCAATCCGGTTTGTCGGTTTCTGGATACGTGTGCCACTCGTGATTCGCTGTCCAGCCATCGCTGTGTCTCCCGGTGGGTTCACGCGTTCTCTCGATCGAACTGATCCGCTGACTCCGGTAACCTGCGCTTAGGTGGTAAGGTCGAGCATACTGGACTGGTTTCCTAAACCCCGTTACAATAATCACTGGTCGCATATTCGCCAAACGTTACTATCCGCAGACAAGTCTTCATGTACCATATCAAATTGCCAAATTGGACATTGGATCTCTACACAATCTCTGGAACTTACGGTTGCTCGCCTACTTATTCCGGCTGCAAGCGAATACAATGAGGTTCGCAAACATATCAGGACAAAACTGTGTGCTAGTCTGAAGAAAGACCGTGAAGCCTGGTGGTCTCCTCGTGCTTCTGAGATGGAAACAGCCGCTACTGTTGGCAGTAATCGTAAGTTATTCCGTCTGATACGGGAAACAGGTAGCAGGAGACCTGGTGTTAGCGAGACAATACGCGACGAGAGTGGACAGCCGATCCACAGCCTGTCAAAATGCTTAGAGCGTTGGGCTGAACCATGTGCAAGGCAATGTAACCAACTTGATTTCTCGGTTTCTGTTTCGGGCATTGAGCGCCCTTCTCCCTGGAGTGTCTCCTTGGATCCGCCCTCCAGCGCAGAAGTCGAACGTGAGATCAGGCTGTTGAAATTGCATAAGGCGCATGGGCAGATAGAATTCCCTCAGCCCTTTTCAAATCGGGTAGATGGTTTACACGCGTTGTTATTGGGCCTCTGGGAGCAGGAGACTGTACCGACAGGCTGCAGCCGCTCCGTCATTGTCCCAATTTTCAAGAGAGGCTCCCGTTCGGAATGCAGCCATCTTAGAGAGATCAGTATAATCTCAATTGCCTCTAAATTGCTCGCGTCTGTCATTCTCCACAGACTAACTGTCACTTTTGTAAGCCAGATTCGTGAAGTGCAAGCCCGGTTTTGTCAAGGTCGTGGCTGCGTCGACCACAACTTCAATTTGCGTCAACTGTTGGAGTACCGCCATGTTTATCGCTGACCCACCGTTGTCGTAGTTCTTGACATAAAAGGTGCCTTCGACTCAGTCGATCGATGTGCCCATTAGAACTGTCTGCTAAGGAAACGTGTGCCTGATATGTAAACATTATCAAAGCGCTGTAGGCGCATAGTTCGGGCAGAGTGAGGGTTTATGGAAAACTGTCACTACCCTTCAGTATCACCGGCTGTGTGACAAGATTGCCCGCTGTCATCTTTCCTCTTCAACTTCGCTATTGATAAAGTCATGGAAACAACGTTCACTGGACATGAACTTAAAGGTATGGAGCTACTTTCTGGGGAGCGACTTCTTTACTTAGAATATGCGGACGATAGTGTCCTAATCGGTGACAGCTCCCAAACGTGCCATGCAGCACTGGAGCGATTAGCACTGGCTGTCTACCGTTTCGGGCTATGTTTTGCTCCATCGAAATGCAAAGTACGTCTCTTAGATTGTTAGGGACCCAGCATTGCGCTAAAGCGTTGTGGTGATCTGCTAGAAGTCAATCAGGAATTCAAGTCCCTGGGAAGCTACGTTAGGTCCCGTGGGATCGAAGACGAGATTACGAACCGTATAGCAAAATCTCGAGGCGCGATTGTCAATCTCTGCCACTTGTGGCGCAGACGCGGCATTACTTTTGCCCTGTAGGGATGAGTTTGTAACCCAGCCGTCCGCTCAACCCTTCTATATGGTCGTGAAATCTGGCCGATCAGTTCGACAGACATGAAGAGGCTCATCACATTTGATCATCACTGCCTTCGCAGCTTAGCTCTTGTCTGCTGGAATCACCGCGCAAGCAATGGATGCGTTTGGCGTCCCGTATTTGGTGTAGGAAGAGCGAGTGCACCGCTCAGAATCATTATATCACGCACCAGGCTCCGATGACTGGAGCACGTGTTGCGTATGGCAGCACACCGACTCCCGCGACGTGCATTGTATGCGCGTTGTGAGTGCGGTTGGAAGAGGAGGAGAGGAGGCCAAGCGATGACTTGGTCGAAAGAAATAAA